ACACACAGACAACCTCTCGTCAATATGCGTTTTCCGCATTGCATTGCTGCAAAAAACGCATAATTATGAAAGTTGCCCGAACCACTGGGAGCATAACTTCCAAATGAAGCTCCAACTGTTACTAAAATGTGCCAAAACAATGTGAGTGGCAACGGATCTTCACAAACAGCAACAGAAGAATCATACTGCAAGTTCTTTCCTGTGGTTATTTTCTTCCCCGCTGGCGCCGTTAACTTATACACGCGTCGTTCATCAAGATTCTTCATGTGGCAAAAAAACCTCTGCCAAAGGGGAAGCGGACGAAAGAAAGAAAAATAAAATTTTATGACTTCGTCTGATCGAAATGCTGGAAAATTAACATGGGGGGAACGCAAGCTAAATGTAATGTGAAGCAACAGTGGATGAGACTATCACTAAAATGGGCTTCCGGTGAGTTCTTTCGACTTCTGATCCCCTCCTCTTCCTTCACGCATAAATAAAATGGATTATTTTCGTTTAATTTTAATTTTTTATTTTCTTGACTATGTAAAAAAAGTGCATTTTGTGCGAAATCGCACCCAAATGTGCGTGTGCTCAAATAATTTAGCTCCAGAACTATAAAAACAAATAACGGTGTTCAAAAGGGTAACCAGTGCAACTGTGCGTTTTGCGTAATTCTCTCCGGCATGTCTTGCTGTTAAGATTGCTTTATAGTTTTGCGTGTGCAAAAATCGTCGAAATGTTGTCTGGTTCGCAAGCTAAGAAATTTCCCGAACTTGAAGTTTGATGGGTTGCAACAAAATAGGGAGCACATTCCTAAAATTTCAGCTTCTTAGCTTTTCCGGTCTTTTCAATTGGAAATATCGGAAAAAATCCGGATGCAGACACATAAACACATATCTACACACTGACAGGATCTCGACAAAATTCGTTTAGCACCGCTATCTTACAAGATGCGCCCAGCACAATTTATCTTGAAAATTCATGCCCATTCCTGCCAAAAACAATCCACTCACACGATCGGTTGCTGGAACCCAAGAAGCTGCCGAATCGACGGCATTCGATGCCAGTGCTGCTTTGACATCAGCTGTTGGCGGTGGCTCACCCCATTCTCGTCTCTGTAATTGATCGAATTCATGAAGTCCCAACCTTATTTGTGAAAATTACGAAAAATCATCAGAACAAAACGAGCAGATCAATCATACTATGTGCAAAAGAATGACGAATAATGACCGGAATAACCTAATAATGACCAGAGAATGACTAGAATGATCAAAGAATGACTGGAAAACGAAAAGAGCTAGAACAATGATTTTTTCAAACTCATTATTATTGTATCCTAGTGACCTGTTGCTCACCTCTAGCTGGCACGCTAAAGGTTCAAATCACTTTCAGCAAGCTTCTTAAATAATCCTAAAAGAAGAAATTTCAGTCTTGCATAACGAGTACAGTTCATCCATAGCCATTCCTCGAAAGATGTCATATTCTGAGAGAAAAAAAAAAAAAAAACTCTGGCAAAACACTGTTAACAGTTTATCTTAGCAGCTTAACATAAGTCAATATTTTAATATATGAGGACATAAATTTTTGCCGATTTGTACTGATGAGGTCCGATTGCGGCACAAAGGAAAAAACGTGTATGTGCAAAAGTTCATGAATCAAAATGCCCTTATTTAAGCTCTCCTTATTATCATCTATACGCATCTGTTATATATATACGTGCAAGTATTTACATAAGTAGTTTTCCTTGTCAATATTTATGTTACTACTTTTTTATACTTATTTCTTCCCGCTTATTTTGACCCATTTTCACTTATGATTAAAATCATAGTTCTTATCAGATTCACAATAAAATCAATGTTCTGATCAGAAGACTAATGATAAAATCGTAGTTCTGATCAAACTAGTAAAGAACCTTAAATCTCTGGGCCTTTGCAAAAACGATAAAACCTCAAGTCCTTGGGTTTTTACAAAGGAATTCCTACCATGTTAACTGCCGAATAAAGGAACACTCGGTTCGATGATCAATGGCAAAATTTCCACTTTGAAAGGTGCGTTATTTCAGGTGGAGCACGCCTGCCAGCACTATCCCAGTGTGCCACGTAGTTGTTGCGTTTATGTAGCACTGCTAATTCGTGAGCGAGAAAAGCTAGAAAGCTGGAGCTTTAGCGAAACATCAACCCGATGATGCTGCCCTCTCATTTCAAAAACACATGTCAGAAATATTCTGAAAAGAACCTGCTCCTGTGCCCCTCTCATGGAGGTATCCTCGGTTGCTGCTGCTTCAGTAGTCGCAGCACTGTTTCCACCTGTTTCTGCTTTGCGTTCGCCAGAAGTTTCCTCGTCGTCTCGAGTGTCTGAACAGAGAGAAGTGAATACCAAAAAAAAAAAAAAAAAAAAAA